CCTCCTGACTCCTGCCAGCTTCCCCTGGACTCTACTGCCTCTAGCTCCTGTCATCTTTGACAGACAGCCAGTAGCAGATACATATTAATTGCCTAAACTTCTTAGGTGCCCCGCAGATGGGCCTTAGGTGCCCCGTATTTTGCCCATCCCCGCCCTAGGCTGTTTACAGTGCATCTTTGACATCAAGTGGCAAGACAGAATCAGAAACACAGAGATCATTGCCAAAGCCAACCTGCCAACCATCGCTGCACTACTCAAACAGCAGCTTTGGCCATCTTCACAAGATGGAAGATGGGCGCATCCCAGAGGACATCCTGTCTGGGCAAATTGCAGGTGGGGAAAGAAGAATAGGGCACCTAAAATTGCACTTGAAAGGTGTCTACAAGCAGGATATGAAGGCTTTTGGAATTGGCCCAAGCCTTTGGGAGGCCTTACCAGGAGACAGGACAAAGTGGCACTCCCTTCTCAATCATGGAGTCCAACAGCACAATGAGAAATTGTCACTCGAATTACAATAGAAACATGACCAAAGGAAACAGCTGTCAGTATATTAGCCCCTAATGTCATATACACTTGTGACCACGTGGAAGTCTAAAATCGGTCTTCACAGCCACAAGAGAAAATGCACCACCAGTCAGTAGAATAGTTGCAATATCCACCATCGCTCGCTGATGAATGGATGCCATACCTAACCAGGACTGAGCAAAGCAGCTGCAGCTTCAACCTCTGATCACCACTGCTTCTGCACTGAGGTCTGCTGGCCCCGGACCCCTTTTCGTCTCTGTCTCAATTCAGAAAAAACCCCAGTGACACAGACAATAGGGGGTCCCATGGGTGACTGCAGGGAAGGGGGCAGAGGAAAGAAGGATCAGCAAGGGTGGGCATACAAGAAAGCTAAAGAGAGGCCCTTCTCCCATCCAATCACAGTGAGGATTTGTGCGTGCACAGAACATTGATCCCGAATGGGGCTTAAAGCAGACATTTGCAAACTGTCTTTAAGGATGAGGAGGAGTTGTCAGGGGGCAGTGTCTCCAATGTGTCTCTGACCCATGCTGAAAGCCTAGTGTAGATCAGGAAGTGTTAGCAAATCAGAGTAAAACATGGCTAAACCAACCACTTTTTTTCTAACTGTCCCTCATTCATGAAGACTGTGCTTTGATTAAACATTGCACAAGATCCACAGTTTGCACAGCTGCACCAAGCTGACATGGGATCATTTTGACCCTTTTGTTTCAGTAGAGGGTGCTGCTTACTAATTCCCCAGGAGTATGGTCATGGATGGGTACAGCTCAGTGGTGTCAAATTTGTCTGGCTCCACAGTCCAGCCAAAGGGCACAGAGTTGGTCTGCAGGCTAGATAGGACCCACAGACTGGTCCCACATACTGGAGCCCCCTGAATGCACGCGCCCTAGTCATCTCTGCATGCTACATTCAACACTCAACATCCCTGATTTGGGTTTTGGGCTGTAAACAGCATGCAATGCCAACATGGGGCTTGTGCTACATGCAGTGCCCACGTTGGACCAGCCATGTGCAGTGCCTCCACTTCTTGGAGTCAATCTGAGTACAATAAGGACAGGCTTTGGAGCCAGTCCACTGGCACAGTTTAGCACAGGCGAGACATACAATGCATAGCCTGAACCGGCCCAAAGCTGCAAAAATCACCCATGACCCTGGGTCCAGCTCACCCGCCACATGTGGTATGCTCCAGATTAGCATCATGCATTGCATGCACCATGTGGGGACAGGGATGGCTCACACTGCCCTATAGTGTCAGTCTGAGACCCATGAGCTGCATCTGGTCCATAGCCCATGCTTTGATACCACCAGTAAAGCTTCTTCAGGAAGGATAGGCACAGGGAAAAAAGGAGGAGGTGTGGCACTAAAAAAGGAGGAGGTGTAGTACCAAGTAGAAGGGAGCTGGGTAAAAGTCAGAGGGGAGAGCAGCAGGGGTAATGTCATGATGGGTGTCTGCTACAGGCCTCTAAACCAGGAGAAGGTGATTTCTAAGCACTTGTAGAAGAAGGTGATTATAGAAAGTAGATCTGGGGAACTACAGGCCCATCTGCCTGACCTCCATCCCCGGGAAGATCTTGGAGAAAATCATCAAAGAGACCATTCTTGACAAACTGGCAGAAGGCAACTTCTTGAGGGATAGCCAGCACGGGTTTGTTGTGGGTAGGTCTTGCCTGACCAATGTCATCTCCTTCTACAACCAGGTGACATATCACCTGGACAAGGGAGAAGAGATTAACCTCATATAGCTCGACTTTAAAAAAGCTTTCAATCTGGTATCCCACAATCATCTTATAGAAAAACTGGCCAACTGTGGCCTCGGCTACATAACAGTCCGCTGGCTGGGGAATTGGCTTCGAGGTCAGACTCAGAGAGTAGTAGTTGACGGAAGTCAATTGTCATGGTGCACCATGACCAGTGGAGTCACCCCAAGGCTCCGTCCTTGGGCCTATCCTTTTCAACATTGTCGCTTCAGTGTTGCAAGGCTTCGGTCCTTTTCAGGTCAGTGCCTTGTTCCCTAGCGATGTCAGGGTGAGACCACACCCTGGGGCCACCTAGATAGTTACAGGTGCTGCCCCTACTCATCTGCCACATCTTTGATGTTGATTGATGGGGAGGCAGTCCCTGTCGGTGGTCCCAAAAGGGGTCTTGACCCTAGTCTTTCTTCATGGGGCTCCAAACCTCCCATTTACCCCACCCTTACCACATCCACAGCCAGGGAAGATACTGCTCCCTGCAGTCTTCCTTGGAATGATCTCTTCTCATCCATGCTACCCGCCTCTACCTGGGTCGGGTCCTTCCAGCCATCACTGTTTGCTGGGTTGATCCCTGGCCTCTGGACCACCTTTCGGGCAAACTAAACCTGCCCCGGCCTGGGGCAACAGTAACTTAGAATAATTCTCAACCAAAAAATAAAGGCATTCGATGTCTGCCAACAGGCGCCTAGAATGCTGGCTCCCAGGATCCCTCTGACTAGGAGCTAATCACTCCTGCTCCCACCATCTGGTGGTACTTGCCACTTCCCTGTAGGGCTCTGATGCAGCTGTCGCTGGCTCCTCCCTCTTCACCGGGCTGCCCACAGGGCTCAGCCATTGCTCATTGCCCTTCCCCACTGCAGTACCTGAGTTCTCTGCCATTGTGGAGACTTCACTCAGACCAGTAATAGAGAACTGCTTCTCTCTGCTGCAGTTCTCCAGTGGTCCTTGGCTCCCAGAGCCCGGATTCCTTGCTCCGTCAGCCGGGCTTCCCCAGCTGATGCTAGGGCTTCTTTCCCCATGCTCGGGGCTGCCACGGCCTGGCTCCGCCACCTGCATCTCCTGGCTAGCATGCCGCACCTCTTCCTCCACCCAGCTGACTCCTCTTTCAGCTGCTCTTTAAGCAGCCCCCGCTTCTCCAAGGCCCCGCCCCTGGAGCTCACCGATTCGCAGGCTCAGGCAGCTCTGGAACTGCCAAACCTGCATCAGCATTTCCCCGCAGCTGCAGCTTGTCTCCGCCCCTGTGGTAAGTATCAGGGCTCATTGGGAGGGATCCAGGGCCATGTTGTGGGCGGGCTTTTGCCTCCCCTCTCAGAAACAACTTCATTAATGATGTGGACATTGGTGTCAGGAGCAGACTGGCCAAGTTCGCTGATGACACCAAACTCTGGGGTGATGCGTCCACATGCGAGGATAGGATGGTGATCCAGGCCAACCTTGACAGGCTTGGAAAATGGGCGGATGAAAACCTGATGGCCTTCAACACCAAAAATGCAAGGTACTCCACCATGGAAAGAAAAACCCGCAGCATACTTAGAGGCTTGGCAGTGCTACGCTTGCTAGCACCATGGCTGAAAGGGACTTGGGTGTCATGATTGACCACAAGAGAATATGAACCACCAATGTGATGTTGCAGCTGGCAAAGTGAGCAAAACTCTGGCTTACATCCATAGATGCTTCTCCAGCAAATCCCAAGATGTCAGCCTCCCGCTGTACTCAGCCTTGATGAGGCTGCAGCTGGAGTACTGTATCTAATTCTGGGCTCCACAATTTAAAAAAGGATGTGGAGAACCTTGAGAGAGTCCAGAGGACAGCCACGTGCATGATCAGAGGGCAGGAAAACAGGCCTTATGATGAAAGGCTGAGAGCTACAGGACTCTTCAGCCCAGAAAAGTGCAGGCTCAGGGGGGACCTGGTGGCTGCCTATAAGTACATAAGGGGTGTACTTCAGGATGTGGGGGAATGCCTGTTCACCAGAGCATCCCATGGGATGACAAGGTCAAACAGTCACAAACTTCTCCAAGACCGTTTCAGGCTGGACGTAAGGAAGAACTTCTTTACGGTTCGAGCCCCCAAGGCCTGGAACAGGCCGCTTGCCAGAGGTGGTGCAAGCACCAAAAATATCCGCAACCTCAACCTGCAAGATGTTGGTGTGCCAGGGGCAGAAAGGAAAGTCAACAAGGAAAGTCCATTCCGTCCCGAAGGAAATGCAGTCAGTGGGCTGGGGAGCCCCTTTGGCTCAATAGAGAACTTTTGGACCTCCTGAAACTAAAAAGAGACGCCTACACCAAATGGAAAACGGGAGTCATTACCAAAGAGGACTACACAGCACTAGCCCGCACCTGTAGAGAGCAGACCAGAAAAGCCAAGGCAGAAACAACCGAACTCAGGCTAGCCATGGGAATCAAGGACAACAAAAAGTCCTTCTTCTGATTTGTGTGAACACAGAGAAAAAAAAGGCAACATTGGACCCCTGCTAAATCAAATGGGGCAGCTGATGTCTGACACTCAGAAAAAGGCCTAACTCCTAAACTATTACTTTGCATTGGTCTTCCACCCATCCCAAGGGGTCACCCTGGCAGATAGGATACAAAACATCCAGGAAGCAGAAGATCGCTCAGAATTGACATAGATCAAGTAAGGGAACACCTTGAGTGGCTCGATATCGACAAGTCCGTGAGCCCAGATGGAATGCACCTGAGAGTCTTGAAGGAGCTGGCAGACAAAGATTTGCTACAGCAAAGATATTTGAGAGCTCATGGTGCTCAGGAGAGGTACCGGAAGACTGGAAAGGAGCCAACATGGTTGCAATCTTCAAGAAATAAAGGAGGGATGACCCAGGGAATTACAGAGTAGTCTAACATCCATCCCGGGAAAGATCCTGGAGAAAATTATCAAGGGTTCCATCGGCAGCAGGCTAACGGAAGGCAACTTTCTGAGTGCTGGCCAACATGACTTTGTTGCTGGAAGTTCTTGCCTGACCAACTTCGTCACCTTCTATGACCAAGTGATGCATTGCCTGGACAAGGGAGACGAGGTTGATGTCATATATCTGGATTTCAAGAAGGCCTTTGACTTCATCTCCCATGATGTCTTCATGGCTAAGCTGGAGAACTGCAGCCATGACCATCTCATGGTCTGATGGCTGGGAAACTGGCTCTGGGGTCGGACCCAAAGAGTATTAGTTGATGGGAGCAAATCAAGTTGGCGTAAGGTGACCAGTGGCGTCCCTCAGGGCTCAGTGCTTGGGCCAGTACTCTTCCACATCTTTATTAAAAAATGTGGCTCCATAGCTCAGTGGTTAGAGCACTGGTCTCGTAAATCAGGGGTCGTGAGTTCAAACCTCACTGGAGCCTTGCCTGCTTCCTTTGGGGCTGGACTTGATGATCTTTTTCATACTTGACTTGGGAGGAGGTGGGTAGTGGAGTCCCCCAGGGCTCGGTCCTGGGGCCTGCGCTGTTCAATTTCTTCATCAGCGATCTTGATGTTGGGGTGGAAAGCAACCTGTTTAAATTAGCTGATGACCACAAAATTTGGGGGGAGGTGAGCACGCTAGCAGGGAGAGAGAGATTGCAGAAGGATCTGGATAGGTTACAGGAGTGGGCAAACAGGAACAGGATGTGTTTCAATACGGACAAGTGCAGGGTGCTGCACTTGGGTAGTAGGAACCAGCAGCACACTTATACGATGGGGAACTCCCTACTTGAGAGCACGGAGGCGGAAAGGGATCTTGGTGTCATTATTGACTCCAAGATGAACATGGGCCGACAATGCGAGGTCATGGTTGGCAGGGCTAACCGGACCTTGTCGTGCATCCACAGGTGCATCTCGAGTAGAGCCAGGGAGGTGATCCTCCCCCTCTATGCGACGCTGGTCAGGCCGCAGCTGGAGTATTGTGTCCAGTTCTGTGCGCCCCATTTCAGGAGGGATGTGGACAACATGGAGAGGGTCCAGAGGAGGGCCACCCGCATGATCCGGGGACAACAGGGCAGACCCTACAGTGAGAGACTGCGGGACCTGAACCTATTCAGCCTCCACAAGAGAAGGCTGAGGGGGGACCTGGTGACCGTCTATAAACTCACTAGGGGGAACCAGAAGGGTTTGGGGGAGACGCTGTTTCCCCTAGCCCCCGCTGGCATAACAAGGAGTAATGGGCACAAGTTGATGGAGAGGAGGTACAGATTGGACATCCGAAAAAACTACTTCACAGTCAGGGCGGCTACTATGAAATGAACTGGATTCAGGAGTCAGATGTGGACTGGCAAAGTTCACGGATGACACTAAACTATGGGGGAAGGCGGTCACACTGGAGGACAGACTAGGGATACGGGCTGACCTGGACACGCTTACAAGGTGGGCAGACCAAAACCTGATGGGGTGCTTCACCTTGGGAAGAAGAACCAGCATCATACTTACAGGCTTGACAGTGCTACATTCGCCAGCACCACAACCAAAAGAGACTTGGGGGTCTTGATTGACCACAAGATGAACATGAGCCACCAATGTGATGCCATAGTCAGCAAAGCAAAGCAAACTCTGGTATGCATCCACCGATGCATTTCAAGCAAAACCAGGGACATCATCCTCCCACTCTACTCAGCCTTAGTGAGGCCGCAGCTGAAGTACTGCGCCCAGTTTTGGGCCCCCACTTCAGGAGGGACATGGCTAAGCTTGAGAGAGTCCAAAGGAAAGCCACCCACATGAACAAAAGCCAAGAGAGCAGGCCTTATGAAGAGGGGCTGACGGACATGGGACTCTTCAGGTTGGAGAAGAGAAGGCTTCGGGGGGACTTGGTGACAGCCTGTAAGTATATAAGGGGGGTGCACCAGGATCTGGGAGAACAGTTGTTCATCCAGTCTCCCCGAGGGATAACTAATCATTTGACCTCAGCAGACTTCCTGCCTATGGCAGGGGGCTGGACTCGATGATCTCACAAGGTCCCTTCCAGACCCTAAAGTCTATGAAGATGGCAGGGGAGCCACAAAGGGCCCAATCCTGTCGTGGCAGTACAGACCCAGCCCCTTTCCTACGATCCACCTTGAGGTGCATGTGCCAAGCAAAATGCCTTTGTGTGCCACACTCTGGCACCCAAGCTAGTATTGCTAACCCCTGATCTAGCTTGTAGGGGCTATCAGCTAGCCCACCTTCCACAGACCTGGGGTGCACCTGGGGTGTTACCAAATGCCTTCAGGTCAGGGGCATCACAGCTAACAGAGGTCCCATAAGATTAGAGTCCTGTGACAGTTTGATTCTTGCCCCGATGGCTTAAGGTGTGGGCTCACTTCCCTTGTCTGAGTGGTGGATCCTTCTCTCTGTAATGCCTGGGAAGTCTGATTGACTCGGTTAGTTTCAAGATGTCTCTAAGAGATGGGTGGTGTTTCAATAGTTCTCTCTGTTAAAGGCCTGATGAGAGCCTGTGATCATCTTCTGTCCTTATTAGTCCTAAGCATTGCCTCCAAAACTGTCATCCTCTCTGGGCAGAAGGCATGCAGCTGACCTGCCACAGCTGGGACTTAAGGAGTAGGAATTAGAGCAACAACTGGGAAATTCATGTTTTTTGAGTCACTGGTTGTAGCATGGAAAATTAAAATTAATTGGATTTTAATAAATCCTGCACCGTGGTGAATGCACGGTGCTGAGTGCACTGACAGAGTGCACCATTTCCTACATGTTTGAGGGTTACAGGTGGTTTCTCATCTCTGTTCCCCTGTCTATGAACAGCCTTTCTCCACCACCCTTTCTCCTCTCTGCTTCTATTGTTCCCTTGTTCTCATCCCTCCTTTCTCTCCACTCAGTTTAATTCTTCCATTTACTTGCCCTTTCCCCTCTTGGCCCCTCCTCTCTGTTCTTAGATACTGAGTTACAGGAAATCAGCTAGTGTGTCCAGGACAGCACCACCCAAGATCAGCCAAGCCTGAACAGAGAAGAGCAAACAATCAGCAGAAGACAGTGCAGTGCAGCTTCAGACACTTCAGGACAGGACATGGATGAAGAGGCCACCTGCTCCATCTGCCTGGAGCTCTTGACAGAGCCAGTCACCATAGAGTGTGGACACAACTTCTGCCGAGCCTGCATTACCCTGTACTGTAAGGACACTGTCCATGTCTCAGGCAATGCCATCCCCTGTCCCAGCTGCAGAGCAGGGTTTCAGAGAGGGAGCTTCCAGCTCAACACTCAGCTCAAAAACCTGGTAGAGAAGATTAAAGAGCAGAGTCTGAAACCAGGAAAGGAGCAAATGGTAAATCAGTGTGTGGAGCATGAAGAGAAACTCAAGCTCTTCTGCGAGGAGGATGGAGAAGCCATCTGTGTTATCTGCAGGGAGTCCCAGGCTCACCATGGTCAAAAAGTGCTCCCGATCCAGGAGGCTGCCAACAATTACAAGGTAGGTGACACCACTGATCTAAGAGAGTCCACTGTGTAGTCACATACTTACCTGGCAGGGGAAATACCATGATTGGTTTCTGACCCAGTGGCTGTATTTACCTGGCAGGGGAGAGCCCCTTCTTCTCAGCCTTGAATGACTTAGTGTAGTTGAGGGTGAAGGCCTGTCCCTTGCACTGCGGGCAGGCTAACACCTGTGAGAGTCTGCAAATGCCTCCCAATGTAAGGATCTCAGCTACACAATTTATGGTGATGGAAAATTGCTCTCAGGCTTCCCTTCTAGCTTGCTCCTTTGGCCTTTTGGCTAAGTGAGACTAGGGGGCATCTGAATTCCAAGGCCTCCAGGCTTGGAGCTTGCACATAGGACGCCTGCTGTGGATTTGGCAGTATCTGAAGCCCCAGGCTGAAGCGTCTGCGAAGGAGGATACTTGCTGGTGGTAGCACAACACAGACATGAACAACTGAGCTCTGCTTAGTTGATAGAATTCAGAACTGATTTGGCCCACAAGATGAATCATGAAATCACAGAATCATAGAAATTAAGGGCTGGAAGGGACCCTGAAAAATCATCAAGTCCAACCCCCCTGCTCTGGGCAGGAACACTGCTGGGATGAAATGATCCCAGCAAGGTGTCTATCCAGTCTCCTCTTGAAGATTTCCAAGGCTGGGGATTGCACCACCTCCTTGAGAAGTCTGTTCCAGATTCTGGTCACCTTTACCCAGGGGCAGGCACTTATTTTGGCTGGACAGCCACTTAACAAGTTTCAGTGAGCTGACGAGGACCGCAAGGGTGGCCCTGCCCCCTGGTTGCCATCTTAGGATCTGAAGTCCCACCCCTAACCTCTGACCTTTGTCACTGGAGATCCCTCCCCTCGCCCCCAAAAGTACTAGGGAGGGGGTTTGCCATCTTTGAATGGGAAAAAAATCCCAAATTATATACTAAAAATCAAACATCTGTAATGATATATTTCAATTTGATGTTTTTTTAATTGTCCTGATTTGTGTGTGTTTGTGCCATATATATAGAAGTGATTGTATAATAACTCAAAATGAAGTCTTACTCTTGTATATTGTGGGGGGGTGTAGAGGGTTGTGTGTGCATGGGTATGGGGTTTGTGGGGGGATATGTGTGTGGATGTGTGCGGATGTGTGCATGTGGAGTGTGGGGAAGGGTATGGGGGTATGTGTGGATGTGTGTGAGTGAGTATGGGGAGTTTGTGGGGATGTGTGGATGGGTAGGGGGTTTGTGGGGGGATATGGGGTGTGTGGAAGGTGAGGGTGGCTGTGTGCGTGTTAATGTGGGGTCTGAGGGTATGTGTGGGTGTGTGGGAGGATATGGGGGGGTTGTTGGGAGCTGTGGGATGTGGGGAGGGAGAGGGTGGCTGGGTGTGTCTGAGGTATGTGTGTGTAGCAGTGAGCAGGGCTCCCCCCAGAGGCATGCAGGTGTGAGTGTGGGGAAGGGTGTGGGTAGCTGCGATGTTTGTGGGGTGTGTGATTGTGTGGGGGAGGGTGTGGTTGTGGGGTTTGCAGGGGAGGATTTGAGGGTATGTGGGGTATGCATCAGAGCTCCCTTACACACACACACACACACACCCCCCCAAGACGGTCAGCACTTGCCCCTGCCCCTTCCCCAGCCCTGCAACAGCCCAGAGCCCATGCACACTGGGGCGCCTCCCCCACCACTGCCAACAGCGTGCAGCCCCAGCGTGGCCCATGCCCATTCCACCCAGCCTTGCTGAGTCCTACTGCCCCTGGGCATGCAGTGTGGCTGGGGCAGCTCCTTCTCGCTGCCACCACTACTGCCCCCAACCCCACGGTAGCAGCAGGGAATAGCACTCCCAGCCCCGACATCATGCACCCCGTGCCAGCTCCAAGCTAACGCCTCTGGGCTGAGCAGCAGCAGCTGGGCAGAAACTGTTGCTCATTGCAGGGAAAAAGCAACCCCTCCCCCTCGCCGCCGGTGGGCAGTTTTTGGTGGAGCCACTCAGAGCCTGCACTGCTCCAGGCTGCCCTGTGTCTCCATCACTGCTGCTTCTAGGCTGCCCTGCGGCTGCTCCACACTGTCACCACTGCTGTGCAAGGTAGCCCAGAGGTGGCGGTGATGGAGCTGCAGGGCAACCCAGTGTAGTATGGGTTCCAGGTGGCCACACTAAAAACTGCCCAGTGGTGGCAAAAGAGAGGGGCCGCTTTCCCACCCTCACAATGAGCAACACTTTCTTCCCAGCACCAACATTGCTGTTGCTGGTCACCTTGGAGCCAGTGCTGGTGCAGCTACCTGAAGCCCACATGGGGCTGCCCTGCATCTGCTCTGTGCTGCCACCACTAGCCCACCGGGTAGCTCGGAGGCAGCAGTGACATGGTGGAGACTCAGAGCAACCCTGCACGGGCTCTGGCCAGCTGCACCTGGAAGTGCTGGCAGCAGGAGGGGGAGGAGCCAATTTTACCCCACACTGAGCAGCGGTTTCTCTCCCATGCTGCTGCTGCTGCTGCTCAGCTCAGATCATCTGAGTGGTGACCTGAGAGGCTCCCAGCTCTGCTTCCAGCTTCTCCAAGAAGAGGCCAGGAAGCTTGACGTGAGGCCAGGGCTCCTGGATGGCCAAGACCCCTAGCAGCTTGGAGAATCACCAGTACTGGTGCCTGTGTAGTAGAGTTTCTGCCTGCCACATGGGAGATCTGCGTTTGAGTCCCAGCTAGGGTGAGTGAAGTAACAGGGAGAAGTTCTTGTTGCAGTAGAAAGGGGTCATTGTGTTTCCCTCACCTCCAGGTACCTAGGCCCTATATTTCTTGTTATTTGACATTTTGTATTTTGTGCCTTTTATATTTCCCCAACCAGTATTGTTTGTTCTGCTGTTTGTGTTTTATATTTTGTTAACCATGTCTTTTGTCAACTGGATGAATATGTCTATGATTGTAAGTGTCTAACCTTTGTTGAATCCTGCCCCCTCGGGGCATTGTAGTGTCCCCTATACCCCCTGGTTTATACCTGTTATGTTCCCACTACGGTTCTCTCATTAAAAGGTATATGGTTAAGTCCCCAGTGGTGGTCTGGCTCTGCTCTATAGGGTGAGGAGGGTCTCTACACCTCCCACTGCACTTGTGCACCTGCTCTGATCCCTTCAATTGGAGAGGGGGTACCTCTTGGAATACCGCCCGGGTTACACTAGCCTTACCTCTGGGATTCTAAACCCCTTGGTCAGCAATTGCCACTCGGCCTGCTGCCCCAAGACTTTCTTAGGGTATATCAATCAGTCCTCAGTCTAGTTGGTCAGGTTGGTTGCTGCCTACTTTATTCCCTAATGCCATGGAAGTTCAGTAAATACAGTAATCAATTAAATTAACTGTCTGTCATGGTGCACAGCATCTCAATTACTTATCAATGAATACAACAGCCCCCCATTTGTATAATGTAAGATCAACTGGTTGTCACAGAATCCCTCTGCTTCACTTGATCCACAGGAGGTTAATTAACGATTAGTGAAATCACAAGCCTCCCTTGATTCCCAAAAGTTCAATTAATTATCTATGAATGCCCCAATTAATTCTTGATTAATTCCACGGTCTCACCCAATCCATGGCTGAGCACTTAAACATCAGTGAATTCATCAGTCTCCCTTGATTCACCAAAGATCAATTAGTTATTCCTGGATTTATCAGTCTTTATCCTTCATACTAATTACATCAATTGTCACTCTCTCTCTCTCTCTCTCTCTCTTTCTCTCTAATTGACTCATGAGGTGTTAAGCTCATAGGATCCTTCCATCATTATAGCAACAGTCTGGCGCCACTCACTGTAAAGTCATTACCTCCCTGGAAGCAGCACCTTCCTTTCCATTAGTCAACTTCCCCTTCTCTAGCACAGTCTCACTCACTGGCCTGGTCCCAAGCTTTCCCCATCTACCTGGGCAACCTCACCAAACTCTTGTGCTATGACTGGGAGTCCCAGCTCCGTGTCTCCTCATGGCATGCATGGCATTCCCAAAACCCAATGTGCGTTTCCTTCTCTGGGGGTAGTGTGTGCCAGGCCCTTGTTTTTGAGCCTGCTGGAGTTCTCAGGGGACCGTAAGAGCTGGCTTCCTCCATGTGTGACAGCATGCAACCAGGAACCCACTCCTTGTCCCAGACTGCACATGGATCCTTTTTCTGAGTGCTCTGGTAGCTTTTCTGAGTAGGTCTGCCCTCTGACTGCCCAGATGATGTTTCTTGCCTGGAACAGGGATTGGAGCTGGCTGCCTGCTACAGGGCTCCTGCCGTGGAACAAGCTTCTCAAGGAGACCAGAGGAATTCTGTGGTTGGACCACGTGTAGGAAATGCAACAGGGCCCTTGTCCAGGGCAAAGCCTGTCTGCTATAGACCTGCCCCATTCCAGCTATCCAGCCCTCCTGCCTCCAGCAGAAACCAAAATTGGTTTGAAAAATGGCTCAAGCTATGTTAAGAAGCTGTGCATCCCAGTAGAGTTCCTGGAGGGGATCCAGATGTAGCAGGCTCACCTTACAGAGCTTGGGATGAGTCCCAGGCTTGAGATCCTGTGGTTTTGATTGGTGGAGCCCATCCACCAATCAGGAGGCAGCAAGAGAAATAACATTATGCCCCTTTGCTGAGGGGAGGGAGAGAAGAGCTCCCCCGGACCTGATTGAAGACTGCAACACTGTCAGGTCCAGAAGACTTCAGGGGCAGAGCCCTGGAGCATATAAAAGGAGCTGCTTGCCCAGCAGGGGGGAGATGCCTCGGGGACAGAGAAGAGAGAAGAGCAGGGTTTAGAAGAACTGAGGAGAGCTGCTCAGCAGGGTGAAGCAGTAGCCCAGGAAAACCGCCTGAAGACTTCTATCAGCAGGGAGTGGGAGACGGCTCCAGCAGTTAGGCTTTCAGTGCACAGCACACAGTGTCCAGACCCTGGGAGCTGCATGAGGCAGCTCAGGTCTGCAACCTCTGGCATATGGCCAAAGACACGGTGCACAGGCCGGTGCATGGAGCAGGATCTTTGGAGCCCCTGGGGCAGCTCAAGTCCTCAACCCCCGGAACGAGGCTGGGAGCTCGGTGCCAGAGGCACTGCATGGAGGGTGAGAGACCCTGGGAGCTGCTTGAGGTGGCTCAAGTCTACAGCTGCTGACACAGAGAAGCAACTCAGTGCAGACAACACTGCCCAAAGGATCCAGGAACAGACTGAGCTCTGGTGCTGCACAGGGCTGTCCAAGCCTCCAACCCCTAGCACAAGGCGAAGCGCCCGCTACACACAGCAGTGCCTGTAGCCCCAAGCCAGGATGGCGGCAGCAGAGTTGGGCATCAGGAAAACCCAGCAGGGACAGAGCTTGACCTGGAGAACAAGAGGCAGCCCTCCGGGACTGCAGAGTAGTAGTAAGCTACCCTGGAGAGAGGGTCCCCACAGGGGAGGCCCACCCCTGCCCCCCACCTCAAGGGTTGTGAAGGGGCACCTCGTGGGCTGCTCCTGGGTAATAGTGGGGGAGCTTAGGAGTCTTTGGAGTCTTCCTCTCCTTTCTTTTTACCTCCACCTCCTTTCCTGTAGTGGTACCTTGGGAGCAGGGCCCCTGCCCTGGAGGGCACCCAGGTAGTCTAAGGATTGATGATTATATTTGTGAACTGTGCCTTACAGTTTATGTGAATAATTTGAAGTAATAGTTTGTATAAGAATAGAGTTATAAGGTTGCCCAATCAATAGTTTTTGGTCTGGTTTGCTCTATTGTTCATCTGTATTTTAAATGATAACTGTGTGTGTGTGTGTGTGTGTGTGTGTGTGTGTACATATATATTAGGGTTTATTGTTTTGTAAATGTGTACGTATATATATAATCTATGTCCTTACCCTTTCATGGTTTTGTTGTAATAATAAATCTGTATATAGTTAAGTAATTGATTGACTGGACCTGACTCTATAGGGGGGATGGAGTGGCTGGTGGGCTGTTGTGTCCCTCTGCAGCACACTGCCCTGCCAATAATTCCCTCAATTGGAGAGGAAAGTACAAGCCCGTGTACACCCGGGCTACACAGAGACCCCAGGAAGTCACTCCAGAATGTGGGGTCATTAACCAATGTCTCCATGGAAGAAGGGCATACTGCAGTGATGGGCATAAACCCCACAGTGTCAAACCCCTCTGGAAAGTTTCTGAATGAGCTTCAGAATGAGCCCAGATTGGGCTAAGGGGCTGGCAGCTTAACCCCTTACCTGCCACTTTTCCAGGGGAGGTACAGCTCCATGGCTGCTGGTCTGGAGGAGATGCTTTACGTCTTATAAAATGAGCTACGCTTTACAAGCTGGAGTCATGTTTGCTCCCAAAGATGCTGCAGTTTCTGCACACCCTTAAACCCATGTCCCTGTCTTTCCCAGCTGTCCCAGGGGCTCTGGGCACCACAGCAGTGTTTTGGTTTCGGTGAGATCCTTCTCACAGTTCTCTAAAGTCTACCAGCCTTGTATCACAATGGCCATGACTGTGCCAAAGCAGGACTGCTGCAGAGCCCCTCCTGAGGTGCCCTGGGGCAGGGCAGGCTGGGCACTCTGCATTACCCTGCACTGAGAGGGAGGGGAGCCCTGCGCTCTTTCACCCCCAGTGCCTCCACGTGATGGGAAAGGGGCTGCCATTTCCCCGTCCTGGAAGGGAACAAGGCAGTGGCAGACAAGCCTGTCTCCTGAGTAGAGAGTTCCTGCTGGTGGGGAGGGGGAGCTCTCTTGGGTCCTCCCCATCCATCTCCCTTGGCCAACACAGGCTTGAAGTTCTTTGCATGAAGCACCTCATTCATTCTTGATCCAGGGACGACCCCAGGCCCACAAAACCACTTACGTCAACAGCTGCAAAGATGATCTCTGGCCCACTGGGTTTTAGTGCCCCAGGGCCTTTACAAATGCCCCAGTTCCTAAACCTCTCATTGGGATTTCAGCCTTTTGCCTTTGAGTAAATACATTTTGTGTGATCCTTTCTAGATAATTCATCACTATACCTAAAGTATGTAATATGTATCTGGTGACAGTATATCTAACGGCAAAGGGAAGCACATACCAACTAGGTCTGTGCGAGGCTTCGGACAGAGCTTCAGATCCAGAGAAGCTTCGGACAATTCGGGCTTGGAAGCAGCATATCCGGGTTGAAGCGCTGCCTCATTCGGCTTCCCAAAGCGCTTCAGAGCCACCTCGGAGATCCGGCCATAGGGTATAATGGGGAAACAATAAAAGTCGGCAGCAATCCAATCCGGCTTTGGATCCGGCTGCTTCAGATGGCTGCGATCCGATCTGGAGCTCCGGACTGGGTTTCCGCCTCAATCCAGCCGAAGCTTTGGAGCCGCCTCGGAGATCTGGCCATAGGGTATAATGGAGAATCAATAAAATATCCATAGCTTTGTTGTTTTTCATCCGATTTGGATGAAATTTTCAGGGATGGTAGACTCTGCAGAGAGGATGAAGCCTGCCAAGTTTCAAGAAGATCAGTGCAGGGGGTTTGGGGCAGCTGTACCCCAAATTATTGAAAGCAAAACTCCTGTCACGTCTATGCGTTACAACACAGCGGGGTCAAAACTGCAGGGCTGGTAGGTCTTACTGAGGCCACAAAGCTTGCCAAGTTTCAAAATCGGTGCAGGGGTTTGGAGGGAAGTGCCCCTCAAGCTGCGAACAAGCAAAACTGGTGCCATGGGTGCTGTGGGACCGACTGTCTGTCCTGGGGCGGGAGGGGAGACACTGCTGCAGGCCTGGCTGCTCAGCTGCTGTGTTCCCAGTTACCAATCAATCATGATTCACTCAGGGACCAGGGACTCGGAGACCAGCTCAATACACAGGACCTAGCTACTACATAACGACTTAACAAGCAGAAATCAGCACCTACAAAACCAGGCTAAGGAGAGGAAAGACTCAATACAGACAATCAACTGCCCCAAGACAGACACAGCCTTGGCATGAGTTTTGTCTGTCAGCAGCTAGGGGTGCAGGGCCCCAGAGCCCCCCTGCACCAATCTCCTCATCAGCTGGCAGGCATCACAGCAGGGGCCACCATCCCTGCAGCTGCACCTTAGCACACGCAATGTCACCCATGGCACCAGTTTTGCTTGTCCTCAGCTTGGGTTGCAGTTCCCCCCAAACCCCTGCACCAATCTCCTTGAAACTTGGCAGGCTTTGTGGCCTCAGTAAGAGCTACCAGCCCTGCAGTTTTGATCCCCCCGCCCCCGTGTTGTAACACACAGATGTGACATGAGTTTGGCTTTCAAGAATTTGGGGTACAGTTTCCCCCAAACCCCTGCACCCATCTTCTTGAAACTTGGCAGGTTTCATGCTCTCAGCAGAGGCTAACATCCCTACATGTTCATCCAAATTGGACAAAGAAACAACAAAGTTATAGATATTTCATTGATTCCCCATTATACCCTATGGCCGGATCTCCGAGGCGGCTCCAAAGCTTCGGCTGGATTGAGGCGGAAACCCAGTCCGGAGCTCCAGATCAGATCGCAGCCATCTGAAGCAGCTGGATCCAAAGCCGGATCGGATTGCTGCCGACTTGCACAGGCCTAATACCAACTCCATGCCCTCACTCTGCCAGTGCAAGGTTGAAAGTGGAGATCGCAGCTCACACTTGTTGTTGTTGCTTATTCTCAAAGAACACCGTAAAGCAACAGAGAGAGAGAATCAAGTCTGAGTGCGAGAAGCTGCGTTGCTTTGTGAGTGAGGAGGAGCAGCGGCTTCTGCAGAGGCTGGAGGAGGAGGAGAGGGAGACGCTGCAGAGCCTGGAGGAGAACGTAGCCCAACTCTCCAAGCAAAGCTCCTCTCTGCACAAGCTGATCTCAGAGATAGAGGAGAAGAGCCTGCAGACACCTGCTGAGCTGCTGAAGGTGAGTCTGTGCTGCTGATCCTCCCCTTAACTGCTGCTGCCTTCTGGCTTGAAGCAGTCCCTATGCCTGGATCCCAGAACTGGTGGAAACTGAGGCAAGACTCAGGCAAGAGTTTCCATCGGTCTGAACATCTACCAGTTTGTACTGGGAGGAAATCCTGATTTGGGAGAAGCTCCAGGTTATTAAATATGAAGGTTGCTTACAGACATGAAAAAAAAATCAGTACAGGTTTTACTTTAAGCTCAGGTTGTCCCCATGCTGAGCTCAACACATGCCCAGAAGTCATCGTGTTATTTGGACCTGGCTTGCCAATGTCTGTATAGACTGGTTGCTTCAGTGGTGCTTTTTGGCACTTTTATCTAATAGCTGACTGAATAAGTTTAAATTAAAGCACCAAAAAGCCCTGCTGAAGCATGTGATCTATACAGATGCTGTGGAGCTGGGTCAAGAGGGCTGTCTCTTCTGTTAAAGTATAGAGTTTGGTGGGGGGAGGGAGGAGGGTTATGTCTGTCAGCAGCCAAAATGGACAAGACAGGACATCTGGAGGTAGCCGAGCAAATGTTCTGAGCAATGTAACGCTGAGACAGAGGTGATAGATGGATTATTTCTTTGCTAACTTGGCTGCATTCAAGTGCACCAGGCAGAGGCGGACGTAGGGATTTTCAGGCAGTGAAAACATTGATGCATATAGAACAGAGATGTCATAGACTCACTGAATGTTGGCGCAGATGGTTTCACCCAGTAAGGAAATATTCACTATTTTTCTTCATTGTCCCTTTCTAGGATGTGAGAAGGACCTTGGACAGGTGCTGTATCTTCCCCTTTCCCCTCCCCAAGTAGATTCCTGCCTAGGCCGTGCAGGAATATCTCCATGGAAGAGCTGAGCTGAGCAATAATGGGGGACGTGTTCCTCTTAGGAGCAAGGATGTGAAGCTTCAGGAAGCAAAAGCTGTTTCTACAGAACTGAAGACCCTGTGCAGCATCCCAGGGATAGTAGAAATGCTAAGGAAATGTCTCTAGTGGGTTATGGAATAGAGAAAATCCCACACAATTTACTGATTCGTTTTGATGCACTGGCTGGGGGAGTAGTTAGCTGACTGCACGATTTCACAATGATTACACACTTAATTCATACAACACAATTTTATTTTAAAACTCTTCGCTACGTATATAACACTGCTTAGCTTTAAGAAACACCACAAACATTAAGAACACAATAACTACATATATCAGAAACAATGCTCCGAATGCACTTCCTTCCCAAACAATGCTATAAGAATTAGTGTTACAAAAACAACTACAATTACAACTAAAAGTTAAATTTGAATCAATACTATTATTTTTCATAATATACTTACAATCCTAGAATTCCAAGAAGCCAAACACCTAAATATGGTTTCATTCCTCAGTAGTACAATTTAATGGGTTGGCCTCAGTAGTACAGTTCAATGGGCTCGCCTCAGCAATACGATTCAATGGGCTGGCCTCAGCAGTGATAGGACTAAGTCCCCTTCCTTCAGTCCCTTTCAGGTGTTCTGCGGCTTCAGCGTGAACTAAGAGATTTGTGTTCACGGAGAGGGTGGTTCAGGTGATCAGTCTGATCCGGCCTACACTTGCGATTCTTCCTTCGTTGTTCTGCAAGTATAGTCACCTCCAATTTGGGAGAGTAAGTTACAGTTTTTATTGAGTGAGTTACCATCTTGGGCTCCTCCTACTCAAACCTGTCATTACCCCCAAATTTGGGCTTGGATCTTACTCAACAGATTCTTTTGCTTAGTAATTAGTTTCTTTTGTTGATCATTTTAATTACTTTGGGGAACTTCCATACCACTGCAAGTGACCTTTTCTTACCAATCTGGTCAAAAGGCTCTAGGGTTTGATCTCTCGGAACTCAGGATATTTGCTTTAAGGATCATTGTTAGGTTCTCTTTGTAAAAGACTTCTAAAGATAAAATTCAAGAGTTAAAACTTTAAGCAAAGTCTGGATCTTCCACACGTAGTCCAAAACAATGACCTAGATAAGGAGATAAATCTTATCTTCTTCCTGAAACTGGCTAATGGGCAACCATTACAAACATTCAAACTATTTCATTCAATATGTCAGGAAATTCAAAGGTACATGAGAGTGCATATCAGGTTCATTGGCAGCAACACCACCCATGTAGAGTGCAGTGGTGGATATAGCACACACCACGCAGGGGGATGTGACTGACTCATGAGCAGACAGCCCCTGGAGTCCTGGAGCGGTCTCCACAGCCCATGTCCAAGTGTCTCTGGGTCCACGGTGGGAAAAGTACCATTGTAATGTCCATGCAGGGCGCAGCTAGATCACTCCAGTGGGGACAGCTGAAGGTGCAAACTAGACAATAAGGTCAAGCAAGTGGATTCCTGTTCCTGCTGCGGGAGGGAAAAACTAATCCCAGAATCAGGACTGGACAGCAAAGTGCCGGTGCTCTGGGATTATCCTCTTCCATGTACCTCAGTCCCAGTCACTGCCACTTGATGTCCTGGTTAAGTATCTGGGTTAATCTCTAGGATCCAGTGTCTGTTAGCTCAGGGGAAAGGGATGAAGGGAAATCTGGGTCTCTGCATGAAATGGGGAAGGCCCCACAGTGTCCAACAGCCTGCAGACCCTGGGCCCTGCTGCACGGTGCAGCCTGCAGTACCCCCAAGTGAACTGAGTACCATCACAAGGATTCCCTCGGCGCCATCCTGCCCAGTCTCAGGGCTGTGGTCATGCCCCAAGTGCAGGAGGATGAGGCAGCAAGAGGCTGTTCCCTGCTCTCCATTCCCAGCTCCTTTCTAGCTATGCTTGGCCCCTACACCATGATCCTCTGAGCTTCCTCTCCTAGCCCTGTGGCCAGCCCATCTCTCCCTGCCTGATGCTTCCTACTCCTGGCACCTTGGGGCCTTCTGCACCTGCATACGCTCCCTCCCCTGGATGCAGCTCAGTCCCTGCTCTGCCACTTCCTTTGCCTTCACCTCCCAGGGAAACTCCTCTCCTCCCTCAGGCATCTCTTACTCAGCCCTTCAGACTATCAGTCCTGTCTGTCATTTCAGCTCTGCATCCAAAGAGGCAAAATGGTCCCTTCCCTGAGGCAGCAGGAAGGGCAGGTAGCACAGACTTCAGCCTTAGCCAGACCCTGAGAAAGCAGACAGGTGTCGCAGCCACCAGCCCTCTCCAGGCAGCAACAGGCAGGGACCCAACTGGCCGCTCCCAGGCTGGGTCTCTGCAGCTGTTCTCTGCTCGTGACAGTGCAAACCAGCAGCCAGTCCAGTCCTGACCTGCAGGGACTGAACTGCAAATTCCCCGTGACCTCAGGGACCCACCTGCCCCAGCCCTGACCTGTGACTCTCTCCCAAGAGGACCTGACTCTGGACCCAGGCACGGCTCATCCCAAACTCGTCCTGTCTAAGGATTGGAAATGTGTGAGATGTGGAGACAAACAATAGGATCTGCCCAACACCCCTGAGAGATTTGATACTTCTGTCTGTGTCCTGGGTGTCTCTAGTGGGTTATGGAATAGAGAAAATCCCACACAATTTACTGATTTGTTTTGATGCACTGGCTGGGGGAGTAGTTAGCTGATTGCACGATTTCACAATGATTACACACTTAATTCATACAACACAATTTTATTTTAAAACTCTTCGCTACGCATATAACACTGCTTAGCTTTAAGAAATACCACAAACATTAAGAACACAATAACTACATATATCAGAAACAATGCTCCGAATGCACTTCCTTCCCAAACAATGCTATAAGAATTAGTGTTACAAAAACAACTACAATTACAACTAAAAGTTAAATTTGAATCAATACTGTTATTTTCATAATATACTTACAATCCTAGAATTCCGAGAAGCCAAATACCAAAATATGGTTTCATTCCTCAGTAGTACAATTTAATGGGTTGGCCTCAGTAGTACGGTTCAATGGGCTCGCCTCAGCAATACAATTCAATAGGCTGGCCTCAATACTGATAGGAATAAGTCCCCTTCTTTCAGTCCCTTTCGGGCGCTCTGCAGCTTCAGCGTGAACTAAGAAATTCGTGTTCACGGAGAGGGGGACAGTAAGTTACAGTTTTTATTGAGCGAGCTGCCGTCTATGGGCTCCTCCTACTCAACCTGTCATTACCCCCAAATTTGGGCTCGGATCTTACTCAACAGATTCTTTTGAAATTACCTTTGGGAAACTTCCATATCACTGCAAATGCCCTTTTCTTACCAATCTTGTTAAAAGGCCTTAGGGTTTGATCTCTCGGAACTCAGGATATTTGCTCTCTTTGTAAAAGACTTCTAAAGATAAAATTTAAATTAAGACTTTAAGCGAAGTCAGGACCTTTTGCACGTAGTCCCAAAAACAATGAGCTAGAAAGGAGATAAATCTTATCTTCTTCCTGAAACTGGCTAATGGGCAACCTTTACAAACATTCAAACTATTTAATTCAATATGACACTGGGCTCCGAGGGCTTCACGGGCAGGAGGCACTACTGGGAGGTGGAGGTGGGAGACAAGACAGGCTGGGACCTGGGCGTGTGCAGGGAGTCTGTGCGCAGGAAGGGGAAGGTCCGACTGAGACCAGGCAATGGATACTGGGCCGTGTGGCTGCGGGATGGGGGGTACGAGGCCCTCACCTACCCCCCAACCCCCCTCACCGTGCACGTGCGGCCCAGGTGGGTGGGGGTTTTCCTGGACTACAAGGCGGGCAAGGTCTCATTTTACAACATGACTGACAAGTCCCATCTCTTCACTTTTACGGACACTTTCTCTGGGACCCTACGCCCATATTTCTATACTGGATACAACGTGGCTCCCCTGATCCTGTGCCTGGTTCCAGCTCAGCCCTGAGGGAATCCCTGTCACTGGCATGACACATGGGGTGCAGACTGTCCCCTCCCAGCGCCACCCAAGTGCCAGCCCCTCAGGTGCCCCCAGGGTGAGGGGGGCAGGGCAGGGCTGGGAGGCAACAGGAGCTGATCTGTCACTCAGAATTTCTAAATATAGATCACTACCTGAATCACTGGCTTGCTTTAATAATCTCTTTATTATCGTAACCCCATTTTCCACAAGCCCATTCAGCAGTGGGTATCTCGGGCTCAGTGTAACATGCTGAAAAACATAGCCCTGTGCACATTTTTAAAACTTTGTGCCCCAAAAACCGGAGGCCATTGTCAGACATAACCCTATGTCTTTTCAAGATTGATTTAAGTTGCAGTATAATCTGCTGTGCAGTCAGATTGTCCAATAAAGCAACTTCAGGATAGTGAGAAAAATAATCTAAAACCAACAGATAATCTTTGCCAGCTGGTGTAAACAAATCAATTCTCACTTTGTACCATGCCTCTTGAATATCATTGTCCATCCACATGGGTTCCTTCTTATTCCTAGGCCGGTACTTCTGGCATGTGTCACGTTTATGTACAGCATTTTCTATCTGACTATTCATGAGTGGCCAATATAATACCTCCTGGGCCCTCCTTTTGCATTTTTCAATGCCCAAATGACCCTCATATCTTCTTTGAATCATATCGGCTTGCAGTGCTTCAGGTAGGCAACCCTTGAACGAAACACCATCAGTCACTGAGAGCTCTGCTTTAAACTGAGAACATGGATGGCCAGGCTACCCAGCGGTGATGGCTATAATAACCTTCTGCAATGTCCCATCCTTTGCTGTAGCCACCACCAAGTTTTGCCATATCTGATATTGGCTAATATATTTTTATCCCATTGACATGCACAACGTCAGATCCCATGTCAGCATCATCCACAGTGTTGTCAACTGCCCAAGACAAAGCATCTGCGATCGCTGGGTCTTTGCCTAGCTTATAGTCTAATCTCAATCGAATAATTCTAACTGAAAAAAGTCCCTGTAATCTAGGAGGTATATCAGCTAGCCCCCTCCTGACATGTAACTCTCTTCCTAGTGGACGTGACCCTGGACTCAGGCATGGCAAATGCCTACCTCGTCCTGTCTGAGGATCAGAAATGTGTGAGACGTGAAGGCACGCAACAAGATTTGCCCGTCACCCCTGAGAGATTTGATCATTGTGTCTGTGTCCTGGGCTCCGAGGGGTTCATGGGCAGGAGGCGCTACTGGGAGGTGGAGGTGGGAGACAAGACAGGCTGGGACCTGGGCGTGTGCAGGGAGTCTGTGCACAGGAAGGGGAAGGGCTCATGGACACCTGGCCATGGATACTGGGCCCTGTGTCTGTGGGATGAGGGTACAAGGCCTGCAGCTCCCCCCCAGCCCCACTCCTCATGCTGGAGGCAGGTGGGGGCTTTCCTGGACTATGAGGCTGGGGAGGTCTTGTTTTACAATGTGACCAAGATGTCCCATCTCTTCACTTTCACTGACACCTTCTCCGGGACCCTGCACCCTTTCTTCTGTCCTGGTCTCAATGCTGGGGGCACCAACGTGGCTCCCCTGACCCTGTGCCCAGCCCCAGCCCAGAGGGAATCCCTGTCCCTAGCCAGAGGTGGCTTTGTGGAGGGACCCTCCTGGCAAGTGCTAGATTTAGTTTTGGCCAAGGGGGAAAACCTGGTGAGTGATCTGATGGTAGAGAATAACCTAGGGGACAGTGACTATGACACTATCACTTTCACTGTCCATCGTAGGGCTGAGAAATCTGTCAGCAAGGTAGAAATTCTTGACTTTAAAAAAGCTGGCTTCAAAAAGCTAAGGACTTTAGTAAATAATGCCCTACAGGATAATGGACCACAGAGAAAGAGGGATGAAGAGTGGCCGTTCCTCAAGGACATTATCCTCGGTGCACAGAAGGTGTCCATACCTGTATGCAAAAAAGGTGGCACAGGGACCAGGAGGCCACCTTGGCTCAATAGGGAAGTCACAGATCTTCTGAAAAAGAAAAGGGAGGCTTAACAATGATGGAAGCTAAGAATAGGCCCCAAGGAGAAGATTGCATAAGATTGGCCCATACCTGTAGGGGGCAGATTAGAAAAGCAAAAGCGGTGACCGAATTCAGGTTAGCAACTGAAATCAAGGACAATAAGAAATCCTTCTATAGGTATATAGGTAACAGGAGAAAAACAAGTGGAAATGTGGGACCACTGCTCAAAGTATCTGGACGTCTGATCACCGACACCAAGAAGAAGACTGAACTCCTGGACAAGTACTTCACATCTGTATTCCACCAGTCTAAGAGTGATAGCCTGCCGAATGCAAATATGACATAGAATAGTCACAGTAGAGAAGAACGCCTACCAACAGTCAATGTCCGGTGGGGAAAGAACAGCTAGAGAGGCTGGATATCTAAGTCACCAGGACCGGTTGAACTCCATCCGAGAGTGCAGAACAAACTAGCCAAAGTCATTGCAGGACCGCTGGCAAACCTCTTTGAGAATTCGTAGCACTCAGGAGAGGTCCCAGAAGACTGGAAGAGGGCCAATGTTGTGCCCATCTTCAAGAAGTGGAGGAGAGAGGACCCAAGGAATGACAAGCCAATCAGCCTGACCTCAATCCCAGGAAAAATCCTTGAAAAATTTCTCAAGGAGTCTATATGCAATAAGGTAGTAGAAGGCAAAATTCTGAATGACAGCCAGCACAGTTTTGTCATGGGTAGGTCATGTCTGACTAACCTCATCTCCTTCTACGACCAGGTTACTCACCACCTGGATAAGGGAGATGAGGCCGACGTCATTTACTTGGACTTTAAGAAGGCCTTTGACTTGATGTCCCATGAGGCTCTCAAGATAAAACTAGGGAACTATAGGCTCAACAATTCAATGGTCAGATGGGTGGGAAACTGGCTGCAGGGGCAGACCCAGAGAGTATACATATATATGGATCTGTGTTGACCTGGTAGAAGGTAGCCAGTGGGGTCCCCCAGGGTTCAAGTACTTGGACCAGTGATTTTCAACAGCTTCATCAATGATCCAGATGTGGGGGTGAAAAGCACACTGGCAAAGTTCACCAATAACACTAAGCCGTGGGGAAGTGTAGCCATGCATCAGGGTAGGCTGGCAATCTAGGCAGACCTAGACAGATTAGTTAGGGGCAAGATTAGTTAGATGGGTGGACCAGAACCAGATGCTGTTGAACACTGAGAAGTGTCGGGGGAGGAAAAATCCACAACAAACCGAGAGGCTTGGTGGTGCTATGCAAGCTAGCACCACATCTGAAAGGGACCTGGAGGTCATAATTGACCATAAACTGAATATGAGACACCAGTGTGATGCTCCAGTTAGCACAGCAAACAATACGCTAGCATGCATCAACCGATGCATCTCAAGCAAAACTAAGGAAGTTATTCTCCTGCTCTACTCGGCATTGGGGAGGCTGCAGCTGGAGTACCGTGTCCAGTTCTGGGCACCAGAAGGATTCATAGATTATAGAGTCGGAAGGGACCCAATGGATTATTGTGTCTGACCCCCTGCCCCTGGCAGGAAAGAGGACCGAGGTCAGATGACCCCAGACAGGTGATTGTCAAGCCTCCTCTTGAAGACCTCCAAGTTAGGTGATAGCACCACCTCTCTTGGCAGCCCATTCCAGACTCTGCCCACGATTATTGTAAAAAATGTCTTCCTAATGTCTAACCTAAATCTACTCTCCAGTAGTTTGCACCCATTATTCCTAGTTACTCCCTGGGGCGCTCTGGTAAACAGCGTATCCCCAATTCCCTGCTGTCCTCCCCTGATAAATTCATAGGTGGCTACAAAGTCACCCCTCAGATGTCTTTTGTATAGGCTGAAGAGATCCAGATCTCTCAACCTCTCCTCATAGGATCTTTCATGGAGACCACTAATCATGTGGGTGGCCCTCCTCTGAACCCTCTCCAGATTCTCCACGTCCCTCTTGAAGTGAGGCGCCCAAAACTGGACACAGTACTCCACCTGTGTCCTGACTAATGCCGCATAGAGGGGGAGCATCACCTCCCTCGATCTGTTGGTCCTGCATCTGCTAATACACAACAAGGTGCAATTGGCTTTGTTGATGGCCTCGTTACACTGCCGGCTCATGTTCTTCTTGGAGTCAGCTATGACTCCAAGATCTCTATCAGCCTCTGAGCTGCTGAGAAGGACATCCCCCAACCTGTAGATGTGCTGGGGATTCCTCCTTCCTAGGTGGAGTACCTTACATTTATCTTTGTTTAACTGCATCCTATTATGCTCATTGATCTAACCTGTCCACGTCGGCCTGTAACTGCTCCCTGCCCTCTGGTGAATTCACTTTGCCCCATAATTTGGTATCATCCGTGAACTTGGAGAGGGTGCTCACCACACCCTCATCCAAATCGCTGATGAAGGTATTAAATAACACTGGCCCAAGGACCAAACCCTGTGGGACCCCACCGCCCACCTCCTTCCAGGCCAAGAATGACCCATCAACTACCACTCTCTGGGTGGGGTCCCTAAGCCAGTTGGCCACCCACCTGACTTTGTAAGTGTCCACTCCACAGCCTGTTAGCTTCCCTATGAGAATAGGATGTGAAACTGTGTCGAAGGCCTTCCTAAAGTCCAGGTAGATGACATCAGCCTCCGTTCCTGTGCCAAGGCAGTGTGTGACCTGGTCCACCCACCTGGACCTCCTCCACCCAGGATGTGGAGGAGATTGAGAGAGTCCAGAGAAGAGTCAGTCGTAGGGTTAGAGGCCTGAAGAGCAAGCCATATGAGGAAAGGCTGACAGATATGGGACTGTTCAGCCTAGAAAAGAGAAAATTTCAGGGGAATTTGGTGGCAGCTTACAGATCCAAGGCAGTGTGTGACCTGGTCCACCCACCTGGACCTCCTCCACCCAGGATGTGGAGGAGATTGAGAGAGTCCAGAGAAGAGTCAGTCGTAGGGTTAGAGGCCTGAAGAGCAAGCCATATGAGGAAAGGCTGACAGATATGGGACTGTTCAGCCTAGAAAAGAGAAAATTTCAGGGGAATTTGGT